GGGTTTTCCACGATTTCCAATCCAAGGCTTTCTTGGCCCAACCAGCGGCTTTCTTTTTGGCGACCCCCGCAGCTTTCTTTTTAGCACTGTCCGCGGCTCTTTTACGAATCCCGCGCTTGAATGATTGTGTAATAGTGTCTGCACGTTCTTTGGGGGTTTCCCACGGGGCTGTTCCAGGCGCCTCGGAAAAGGGCAACTCTTCCGCCAATTCTTCACTGCTCAACGGGGTCGTGAACTTGAGTTTCTTTTTGGCACTGGGCGTGAACCTTGGTTTAGGCGGGACAGGGGGTTTTCTGGGTCCACCAGTCGGGGTGCCTTGTTTTATACCCTGGGTGGCCTTGACCAATTGCGTGAACCAGGCTTGCATGGGGCCTGCCTCAAAATCATCGTCACCCGGGGTGGTGGCCCCTGCGGCACTCACACCCCCCGCTGGGGCTCCAAACGGTTGGCGCACTTTTTTAGTCCAATGGCGTAATTGACGGCTGACGGCTTTGAGTTGAGGCCGTTTCCAAGCATCGGGGGCATCACTGGTCAACAGCAAATGTTGTTTGGCGGCTAAATCGGCGGCTTTGGTCAAGCGAGTGTCTTCCACCAATTCTTGTTTGTACTGGTCTCGTAATTGTAAAAAAGCCGGGGCGTTGTTCACCGTGGTGCTCACCATCTCGGGTTCCATGGTGCAACTGAGGGGTCGGGTCTAGCGCATGCAACGTTTATAACATCGGTAGAGTTCCGGCCAGAGGGCGCCCCCTTTTTGAGCCATCATGATGGCGCGTCGTCGTTTGACGGAATGAGCGGGTTTGGCCATGGCGCGTAAACTTTGAGCGTGAGGTTTGAGCAACGTAATGGTCTGCCGGGAACGGGGTACCGTGCCACGGAGGGTGTTCATCACCAATTCACTGACAGCATTGATCTGATCCGCATTGGCCATCCGCAACAATTCTTGGCGTTTGTGTTGATTGGCTTCTTGTAAGACACTTTTTAAGAACGGGGCTTGACGTTCCATGCGCCACCCCATGATGAATCTTCAGTTCAGGCAAGGACCAAGGTCTATTTATGGTAAAAATGGCGCCACACCGACCACACAATTCGCCATGATAATGCCGTTGCATGTGATCTCGACACCGTGCACACAAGGCGGCTTCATACTGGTCGTCCCAATCCAACGCAAACGTGACGGCTTTGCGTTTCTTGGTCACGTTAGCGTCGGCGCGCCTGCCGTTTCTTCTTGAACGCCCCAGGCGAGAGAGCCAATGCCAACATGGGGAGCACACCTCCGCGTTGCAAGCCACGTCGTCGGCGTCGTATTCGAGGGACATAACGATGTCGGCGACCGTTGGGTCCACGGACCATCCTCAATGGGAATCGTGTGTGTCCCACCAGACGTTTTCTTTTATAGCCTTTTCAGCGTTTCAAACCCGCCCCCAACCTGGCATTCGATTCAACATCCGCTGGACCCGTCGTTGGGCCAGTCGTTGATTGGCTGCACTGATCTTGCCCACTTTTTTTTTTTTCTTCTTCTTCATGAGGACAGCAGCAGCCACCGCCGCGGGAATGAGAAGTGGGAGAATGCCCCCTTGTTGTGTTCGGCGTCGTTTTCGTCGTCGTGGACCACAGTGCATGATGATGATCTGTCCGAGGGAGGACACACCTTTGGTCTTTTATAGTTTTCACATGATGGAACAATTAAAGGATTCCCCCGCGTATTTTTTTCGTTTGCCGGAGGCCACTTCTCGTCGACGTTTTTCGCCAATGGCGATGGCACGCTTGGTTTGATGATCCCCGATGGCTTTGGTGATCCCATAACCGGCTTTGAGAATCCCTAAGGGCATGCTGACCGCGACACCCCCTACTTGACTCACACGCCGTCGTCGTTTGGCGGGTCGTCGTCGTGTCGTCCTGCGTTGGCGTTTGCGTCCCATGACGACTCGTTTGGAGAGCGGAGCACCGCGAGTCTCTTTTTATACATTCACATCAAACTGCACCCACCCACTTTTTTGGCATACCCCTTCTTGACCAACCACTTGTTGTACGAGTCCTTGCTGCCACTCGCGCGATACTGGCGTTTATAGTTGGCCACCCGTTGTTTGTCGGCCTTGACGTCGGCTTTGGACGGAATCTTCCACATAGCCGGGTCTGTCAACAACTTGAAGCCTTTTTTGACATCCACGACGAACGGCGCCTTTCCACCCTTCATCCTACGTCGACGTGATGATCGTCGAGTCGTGGTGCGTTTGCGTTTGCGTCCCATCGCGTGTCGACAACGGCCACACATTTTTGGGACAGGGGGAGAAAGGTCCCTGTTTTTATATACTACGACCTCGTCCACGGGCTCGGCCCCGGCCACGGGCTCGGCCAAGGCCACGGCCCCGTCCTCGGCGTGGTGGTCTGGGTGGACTTGGGCTGGAGGTTCGGGTGGACGTGCGGCGCACCGAGGGACGACCCCCCTCTTCATACACGGTGGTCACCGTATTGGTGTGCGTGATGTTGCGAATCCGTCGACCTCGTGCCCGTTCTTGAGCATCTTCATTGAGCAAATCCAACCGTCGCCTTAATCCTCGCCGTCGATCGTCATCATCATCATCGCCATCCTCGTCATCGGACGGAGGGGACGAACCTGGGGAGGGTGGGGAGGGCACCCTGGGGCGCCGTCGCGGTTGTTTGGCGGCGATGGTGGGGCGTCTAGTGGGGGTCGTCACGGTTGAGGTAGTGGTCCTGGTCCCTGCCCCGGCACTGCGGCGACTGGTGGAGGGGCGGGAGGGGGCGGTGGTGGTGGTGGTGGTCGTGGCGGGGCGTGTTCGAGTGGACGTGACGGGTCGTGGTCGACTGGTGGTAGTGGTCGTGGTGGGACGAGTTCGGGTCGAGGTGGTGGGACGGGTTGGGGCTGCCGTGGTAGTGATGGTGGGTGGTGGTGGTGCCGTGGTAGTGGCGGGGGCCGTGCCAGTGCCTGCTACGGGCGGGAGCGTGAAGGCATTCAAGGCATCGTCTACATTGACCGGGTAAGTCAAATTGAACTCGTCAATGTCTTGCTCCAATCGGGCACGATCCACCGGTCGAGACAATTCGGTCACCATGTCCGTCATGCTGCTGAGATCTCGGAGGACCGAAGGGGAACCTACCCCCGCGGGTGAGTGTGTGTCCATGCGAGCGGCTAACTCAGTATGTTGTCCGCCTTCTCTTTGCCGGCGGACCCTGGCGAGTTCTCGTTGCAGGGCGTTGTCGAACGGCAGGGACATCCGCCCGCAAGGTGTGGACTTGCGCCTTGCCTTCTCGAGGCGTTAAATGACTCCACAGGCGGTAGCGATCATCCGACGCCGGATGTACATCCAACATCAAATAGCCAAAGGGACGGGCCGTGATGCGTTTAAATAGGCGCAAGACTTGACGCCACCGATCCGGAAAGGCTTGTAATAAAATCGTCCGTATACCCGTTTGATCCCGGGGGTTTTTGAACGCCACAATGTAATGCGCGTTGCGATTGATGGTCTTGGAAAATTTGCCCGGCGGGAATAAATCTTGCGTCAAATACAGCACCGTGATGTTGCGATGATGCGAATCTTTGGTAAACAAATCCAACACGCGCTTGTCTTGTCCCCCTTCTTCCATCAGGTCGTCCAAGACCAGCACCCCGCCGCGCGTCCGACCAAACCATTGCGTCAAATGACGGGGGCCCGGTAATCCGCGATAAAATTGAATCCCATCCTTTTTTTGCATACGCTCGAATCGGGGTTGCCAGCGATCATAGGCATACACAATCTTGCGGGGTTTGACTTGAAACATGTTCAGGTACCGTAACCATTGTTCCACCAAGTCAGTCTTGCCACTGCCCGACGGGCCTGCGATGATCACACTACTGGGTTGTCGGATCATGATTCCCACGGTCGAGGGTGACGTCGATAATGACCGGTGGCCCCTTTAGCGCCCATACGTTTATACCGTTTGTCCCGTCCCAATTTATAGCCGATTTTGGCTGCTTTGGTCAACACGCTCATGATGCCTCGTCCGTTTTGGCGAAAGCGGGGTCGTCGGGTGGAGGCGCGCTGTCGTCGTCGTTGTCGTCTGGGCATGTCGTCCAATAGTCGCGGTATAAGCGAGGCGATTCGGACTGGATCAGACCTTCCATGGTTTCTCTTAAATACGTTTCGCTCATGCTATCCATGTACTGTTTGAGGGAGACCCAATCTTGGTCTTGGGCCATTTGTCGGGCCATGAGCCAATGATACCCATCCCAGGCATCAATGCCTTGCACGGTGTTGACCCGCTCGATGGGGTGTTCCCACCAATACAAGGTTTCTTCCAGAATGAACGCATCTACCACCCGCTGGACATCGGCGCGCGTAATCATGATGAACTACAATGACCACTCATGGACCACACACTTTCGTTTTATGGGTTTTTTTTATTCAACACTCACAATGATGACAAGTGATAAAGGCCTGGCGGCTCACATTCTTTTGCCCTCCGTCGGGTCGGGCATCGACTTCATCGTGTAATTCCTGTTTGATCACCCGTTTTAACTGCTCGGCCACTTTTTGATCATTTAACACTAAATTGTCGCAACTCCATTGACTTAAAAATTCTTGATACGACCGTCCTTGCGCACGGGCTTTCAAGAAAAATAACGCATAATGGCCACAGGTTTGACTATCCAGGGCTTGCAGGGTCTGGTCACTGCGCGTCAGGTACTTCCATTGACCCCACCATTGGTGCAACTCTGGGTTGGTGTACACGTGCAGGGGTAGACCATAACTGTCAAAGATCTCGCACTGGTTCTTGTCTGTCCATAGACCCAACCAATGCTGTCCCGGTTCTCCGGCTGGATCGGTGTTGACAATGTAAGCTTGACGGACACTCTTGGTAGGGGATCGGGGGAGTTGGTCGGCTGGGTGTACTCCATGAAACACGCGTCGTAATTCGGGATCCTCCAAGGCCAGGGTTCGCAACACGGTATCACTGAGCGCCACAAACTCCATGCCCGGTGTCTTCTGATGTCTGAGACATCTTCAACCGTTGATGTTGTATTTTATACCTCCCAGATGATTGATATAGTACATGTTTTCATATTCGCTCCATACTAAGATGGTGATGTTATGACCCACAGCCGCGGCAAAATCAATCACCAGTCGCGTATTACCCGATTGACGGGGGTTACGGTACTGGGGGTCATCTGCTTTTCCACTGGGCACATTGTTGAACATGAACAACGTGCAATTCTTGCCTTGTCCCCAATCACCAGGCAGCAGCATAGGGATCTTATCTTCATTGTAAGCACCCATGGCTTGTAGAAATCGATCGTAGCCCAGCAAATCTTCATAGTCTTGGTCTCCAGTCAATTGCAGGGTTCTGTAAGGGTATTCTTCTCCATTCAAGGTCTGTCGTACTTGGGTGATACCAAACTTTTGAAAGGCAAAAGGGTATCTTTGCAGGTCTCCATTGAAGGTGTTGGAATGCAATAACCCGACGATCACTCGATCAGGAAATCGACCCACAAACACATTGTCTTGTTCCCACTGGGTGGTACGCCCATCAAAGGAAAACGTGCGAATTTCACTTCGTACGACGGGGTAGCTGGCAATCTGTTTGTTTAGCTGTCTTTCTTTCTGCAGTCTGACATAGACGCCAGCATTCAAGGTCACTTTTCTCATCAGCAAGGTGACTTTGATGTCGTCATTGTGAATGGCTGGAAATTTCTTGGCATTCAAGGTGCCTTTGTTAGGGGTACCCATCAGGTAGACGGAGTTGGGGTTCAGGAAGAGTTCAAAGTCCATCTGGACATTGGGGACCAACAATTTGCCTGTCTTGAGGGGTGGCAAATGGGGACGAATGATGAAGGTGTGCCAATCTTCACCCAGTAACTTGCTGGTCAGGGCTCTCAATTCTGTATTGCCACTCCAATCCGCAGCAGTGGGGACATCTGAATTGGCTCCTGTGGCTCCCATGACGGGAATCACATTGAGCTGATTGACCCATCCTTGGGGGGCTAACTTGGTGGCTCCTTCTTCTCGGTTGTAATTCAGCAGGGTTTCTAGGTAGGCTCTGTAATGGTAGGTGTTGCTCTGTTCGGTCATGAGGACGCCATTCATGCTCATGGTGATATCTCGAAAGATGGTGTGACCGAAATTGTTGACGCAGTAGGTGTTTCTGGAATTGTTGGCATCGGAGTTGGCCAAATTGGCCACCAACCCATTGTACCCAGCGGCTGGATCAGTCAGGCGCACTTTGACTTTGAAACGGAGGGAATTGGTATCGTAATAATCGTCGGAGCCTGGAATGGAGAAGGTGATGGGTTGGATGCCCGTCAAGGCGGGTTGAAACTCCACGTCCCGCGAGGCTTCGTACCGATAATCCACATCGGGCACGTCAAACAGACTGAGCGACATGATGCGGTCTGTCCACGAGGTTCAACGACGTCCTCTTTTTATACCCTTTCGCCTACGTTGCTTCCTGGCTTTGGCTTGGTTGGCCCACAACACTTTTCGGAGATCCCCGGGTCCAAAGATCGTGCCCCCTTTCATGCGGCGCAAGGCTTGTTTTATCCTCCAGGGTGCAGGGTTGATCCTATCTGTCGCCGTAGGGAACCCCAAAGGATTATTGCGCCTGCGAGTGGACGTGCCAAAAATCGTCCCCCCTTTCATCTTGCGCTGTAGGTATCGATCCAATTGGCGGGAGGATGTGTACATCAGGGGATAGCGCGCCGTGGTCGACTTGCCAAAAATCGTGCCCCCCATTTGATACGGCGAAATGAACCGTCCACGGGCACGTTGCCGTCGAATACGATTTTGCGATTTGAGAAAGCCTCCTACACGTACCATTTTTCACAGTCCAAAGATGTCCCGTACACGTTGCGTGGCTCTTTTATAGGTATTTTGGGCGGTCCGTTTAACCTTGTGTTTGCCAGCCGTCCAAGCCATGGCAGGAGCTTTGCGTTTCAAGCCGCGACTGAGTTGGGCACTTCGATCCGCCCACGTGTCCGCGGCAGTCTTGCCACGTTGAATATCTTGCAGTCCCGCTTGAGCTTGCTGCACAATCAGGGGTCCCGCGATTTTGATCAAGTCTTCGGCCAACCCTTTGCCCTCTTGCTTGGTGAGCACGGGCGTGTGGTACCGCGTTAAACTGCCTCCGCGCATGGTTCACGTCGTGTTTTGGACCTTCCAGAGACGTGGAGTGACTTTTTATAGCTTTTTGAGACCAATGGTCACCAGGGTTTTGCCGGGGGGTAAGATGGTCAGGGGTCCACTGGTACTGGCAATCTCCACTTCCAAGATATCCATTTGTTGGCCTCGTACTTTGATCCATTGGTGGTGTAAGGGTTCGGCTGTACTTTCTCCTTCCCCCGTTCTCAACAATTGCACTTCCCGCAACAGGGGATACTTGCCACTCCCCACCACGGTGGATTCCACCAGGTCTGAGTACACCATCACGGTGCGTTTGCTGGTGCCCACCATCTTTTCAAACGAAGCATCCAGGTTGTTGAACTGCCATTCCACCAACCTGGACAGCAAAAGCCGTTTTCCTTTCACCTCAAACATTTGATCTATATCATCGTCATCGGTCAAATCCTTGGGTAGCATCCCAGCATAATGCTCTCCATTCCAATTGAGATCCGCGCGAGCAGAGGGGTAGGAACTGTGGTCTGGCGGGGTTTGGCTCGTGTAGGTCACGGTAGGGTACGTGAATTGGAGATTGGGCCCCATCACATACCCTTCATCCACCCCTGCGGGTTTTTCAATGAACCCAAACCTTTTTGCGATCTCCAGATCCATCATGAAGGCGCTCGTGACTTTGCTCTTGTTCGCATTCACCAAGTCTCCTTTACCCACAGCATGCAGCACCAAGGCATCGCCTTTCCAACTCATCATAGGCATCCAGTTCTTTTTCACACTGACTACGGGAAATTGATCACTATGATGGGTCGTGGTAGCACTTTGTTGGTTGATCAATGCCTGCATGACCTTGTTGTGCACTTCTTGCATCACGCGTTTCCAAAACTCACTGCCGGTGGTCACAGACTGTTTGGCACTCATGATTTCTTCCAATTCCACTCCATAATCCTTTTTCTTGATTTCGACCTGTTTGTACGACCCAGTTACCCATTTGCGCGTCAAAAACGTGACGCTTATTTTGACGACTTTGGTGTGAGGATCCGTGGCAATGACAGCATTGCTCTGGCCTTGATCTGGCACGGTCAGGGACAATAGGGAGGCATGCCAGCCTGCGCCTGGTAAGCTCAGGCGTTCGGGCAGACGGACCTTGAAACTGTTGTTGGCATTGTTGGGAAACTCGTCGGTCGGATCGCTGATGAGCGTCAAACGTTTAATCTCACTCATAATGAAAAAAGAGGCACGTCTAATAGGGTACAGGGTCCTTTTATAGCCACTGGTCCGCTTTCTGTTTACTGCGAGGGACGCGTCCCACCAACGAATTGAAGGTCGATTGTTTAGGATGAAAACACACTTGCTGGGCAATGTTGGGAAAAGCCCGGGCCAGTTCCATCAGGGTCATGCAGGTCTTGGGTTTAGGGGGTTTCTTCTTGCGCATAGGTGGATGACGACCGGCACGTCGACGTTGTGGTTTTTTCTTGGGTGGGGACCGTAGAGCCCCTCGTTGCTTGGCATACTCTTCGGCTCGATGGTAAGCATTGGCGTAGGCCCATTGCTGTTTGGTGGGACTGGCCAACTTGTCCCACCACGGTTGGGTTTGCCGTTGTTCAGCGGCTTTTTTCTGGATGAAGTTCATAATGTCCGCGTCCGTGGTAGGTGTGTCACTGGAATCATCGAGAAACTGCACCCGCTTTTTTCTTTTTCGAGGCGTTAGTTTGACGCGGACCATGTTGCGCGGGAATCCAACTATCGTACTTGGCCGGCCACCCTTTCCACTGGACCAAGATCTGACGTCCTTTCCGTTTCAAGACTTTTTCGATTCGAAACAATGAATCGTCCGATACTTGGACTTTTTGCACATCGGGTTCGTAAAACGTGCCTTTTATAGGGGTGCCGTCCCATTCACTGAGCTGATAGGTCACCACGGGATGACGACGCACATGCGTGACCACAAACACTTCTTCCGTCCAGCCTGGCAAATACCCTTTTTTGAAGGGACGATGTTTCTTGTTGAGACGCACCCGATCCCCCACGCGACATTTGGGTGGGGGGATCTTGGGCTTCAACCGTGCTCCATAGAGTCGATCCCATACCTCGGACTCGTTTCGAAAGGTGACTTGATGCGGCGCCAACCCAATACTGCGATGATAGGCGTGATTGTAGGTATAGATTAAGGGTTGCAAGACGTCCACGTACCGCAACGTATTGTGCGCGGTAAAATACCGGTACATGCGTTGTTTCAAGGTACGATGCCATCGTTCCACCACCGAGGCCTTGCTATCCCCATACGTGAAAAAATGATGCCAGTCGTGTTTCTTGAACCAGGCTTGGACTTGTCGATTCAAAAATTCTTGGCCTTGATCCGTCTGCACGCGGAGGGGTCGTCGCGGCGAGGCCTGTCGGCGTATCGTTTCCAACCCTTTGATCATGTTGGTGGCACTCTTGGATTTGATGGGGACGGCCCAGGCATACTTGGACAGGACGTCGATGACCGTCAACAAATATTTGTTGCCTTGGTTCCACCGACTGAGTTTTTGCATGTCCACTAAATCCATCTGCCATTGTTCGTCTCGGCCAAAGACCAAGGTGGGGGTGGTGGGAAACCGGGTCCGTCGGGGTTTGTGGAGCGTATAGCTCAACACGGATTGAAGAATCTGTTGCGCTTGCGGGGATTTCAATTTGTGAGCTCGGGCAAAGGGTTGGACCCCACCCAAGGCCCCAGGTGCTTGGGGATCTTCGTAAGCGCGTGGCAACGACATCAAGACACTGACACACGATTCGAGTCCAAGTCTGTCTTTTAATAGTTTTTTTCACAAACACCTTACATGAATTTTCAAAACAAAGACGAACTGCCAAAGTTCTTATGAAAATGGCGCCTTCTCTCAAATTCTCGCTCTTGGGCTTGGACAGACTCACCAAACTGTTTCATCCATGGATCATGCTTTATCTTGTCTATCGCGGGGTTTGGCCTCTCACCATGACGCATCTCTACAGCGTGCATGCCCCAGGGTCTCTCCTTCTCAGGGTCTTTCAGAAGAGGAAGGGACTCCTTGACCCATCGTCTCAAGGTCGGTTGCGCTTGCTCTCGGGGACACCATAGGGGACCATGGAGCCATTGAAAGTAGCCACAGGGTTTGGCATGGGTGAGAAAGCTCCCACAACTGAAAAACACTTTGTTGTAATTTTTGGCGGTGCGACTCAATTTCATCTTGGGAACCAACCCACATTTGCACTTGAGTTCTCCGTGTTTGATTCGGGCATGGACTTGAGGATGCGTGTCTTCTTTCAATTTCTCCATCATCACCTCTCGTGTGTCTTCAAACAAATAAACGGGACACCCTTCTTGGGGACACTTGAACCTCAAGGGACCAAAATTGACTTGGGGGTTGACACATTCCAGGAATCGATGGGGATGAAACGGGCACGATTCATACAGGAGTTGGTTGAACTGGGTGTCCATCTGGTCCAGGATTTCCCATTCCCCCACGTTCGTCGCGGGATCTGAAGGACCTTCCTCCACACAATCTTCCTTATAGTCTTTCAGGGTACCCTCCATCAGCTCGTTCACGGATTGATCTGTAGGGGAGGGTGTGGACAGGGGCGTCGGGTCAACCGCTTTAGGCAAGGCGTTGAGAGCGATGACCAGTTCACTGGTAGGGGGTTGTTTGGCTTTCATCTCTAGGAGTTCAGCTCGGGAGAACCCGAGCTCGGCCATCTCCTGATCATGATCCGCTTTCATCTGTAGGGCTCGCGCTTGGGCTTCCTCTTCTTGTTTTTGTTTCTTACTCACGCGACGTCGTTTGCGTCCCGAAGGCACTGCGGCAGGTTGAGTGGCTTGACGATCCATCCTCCCTCGACTGACGAATGACTTCAAGGGAGCGTCTGGCCTACCTTTTATAGCCCCACTTCCTGCCTCTCGTGACACTCATACGATCTTGGTCTCCACCAATCCGATCTCGTCCTGTCCTCTCGTGATGATCGTATGATCTTGGTCTCCACCAATCAGCGGCTATCCCAGGGGCTATAAAACCAGGGATGAGTCGACGACCCCCTCTCATTCGTGGCAGTCCACTTGAAAACGGTAAGCATGGCGCTCCATGAAGTGGGTCTTTTGGTGTTCGGTCAGGGGTTTGCCCTCTCCCGCGACGAATATATTATTCGAGAACTGGCGTTTTGCGATTGGACGGGGCATCATCATGGATTGTTCAAATACCTGTTACCCGAAGGCGTGTCGTACCATCAATTATCCAAGGAGGCCCAAACGCGCGTCGATCGTCAAA